GCACAGGGAGGCGAGTGAGCACAGAACGATCTGGCATCGTACGTCTGGCTAAGGACAAGTTTAAAAGCTTTTCGGCTAGACTCCTGTGGCACCGTCGTTCTTGCTAGCGGGTCCCTGTGGACGAGGGCCCAGCCAGGCCCAGCGTTTGCCTGGGATGGGGGCGTTTTTAAAATCTCTCTTGGACAGAGTCTGGGGTTGTTCCCTTGCCAGCGAGGTGGGTTGTGTGGGACGAGCCGAGCCAGTGGTACCCCGGTGCTGTGATGAATAGCCCCCTCCCCCCCACTCCCCATTTTCCTGGGTAACCCAAGGCAGCACAGCCACTGCAACTCCTGCAGGACACACATGGCCACTCTTATAAGGGCCTAGCTGGGCCCTGATTGGCTGTCGCCTGCCTCGCTCTAATTGGCTCCCGGGACAGCCTTGCCCAGGGCTGTTTTTAACCCTTTTGCTGCTGGAGCAGGTGCTACAACGGGAAAGGCCTGGCCAGAGGCCGAGGTACCGTCCAGCCAGGGAGGGCTGCGGGAAGGCCAAGGTCCGAGGGAGCAGAGCTCTGCTGGCCACAGGTCCCTGGCCTGGAACCCGGGATGGGGGGGACCTGGGTCTCCTCCTTCCCAACCAGGACCCTCCCTGCTACTTGGGGCGTGGCAGGATCCAGAGATGCAGGAGGCGGGACCAGGCAGACACAGCAGGTGGGAAGAGCAGAGTGCAGCGTTTGCAGGGGAGGCCAGACCGGGGGGATGGGAAGGTGGCCCAGTGTGTATGGGGTGCGGGCTCTTCCCTGGCCAATAGAACAGCAGCAATTGGGGGCAGGGTAACCAGCGGTCCCGACATTGTCCAGGCACCTGTCCAGGGCTCCCTGGAGGCTGGGCGCTCGGGCGGCCGCTCAGGAGAGATTCTGATGCGGCCCAAAGGACTAGCAGAGCCCCCTCACCTAGGATTATTGTTCCTAGGAGTGGTGCACATTCACGCCTGCCTTGGTGCACGCAAAAAAATTTTTCCACACGTGAGTGGATTACAGGGAATATGGTCTATCCCCTGGCCCTCTCTGCCCCTTGTCCTGACTCTTCACACTTGCTGCCTGCTTATCTTATGGGTGGAGCCCTCGGCACCCAGCAGGGCGTCTGTTCCGTGGTCCGTGTGGCTTTGCGGCGTCCTGCCCCCACGGCTCCCCGGGGAGAGAATCAACAGGCTGGGGGTCAGGGAGAGGTTTTTATTATCTGTGCACAGCGAGGTGCCGGAGGGCTCTGTCAGGCTGCTGCTGGCTCCCGTCCGCCCGCGCGTCGGGCCCTCACCACGGCAGGGTGTTCCCCTCCCAGGTCAGCAGGGCGCCGTGGTGCTTCTCGGAGAGGTTGCACAGCATCTTCATCAGCCCGCTGACGCTCTCGTCCACCGTCAGGTCCGCCTGCAACATTCCCCCGGCGCGTGAGCCAGCAGAGCAGCCTGCCCCGCTGGGCACCAAGCTCTGCTCCTCTGAGCCCACGGCAAATCCTCCCCAACCCCAGGGGCTAGGCAGAGCGGGGAGCATTGCCTATACACCGGCACAGGGGCAGACTGCGGGGAAGCATTGGTTTCCAGTGGGGCTGAGGATGACTCAAGCTGCCTCTACACAAACCTATTGCACCGGGACACACAACTGAGCCTCCCCGGCGCTAACGAAGGTGGGGCGCTAACAAAGGTGGGGCGCTAATGAAGGTGGGCGCACCAGCGTGAGCCAGCCATCGGCGTTTTTAGCAACCTGAACATAAGATCAGCCAGGCTGGGTCAGAGCAAAGGTCCATTGTCCTGGCTGCCCACAGCGGCCAATGCCAGGTTCCCCAGAGGGAGGGACACAACAAGGAATCCTCACGGGATCCCTCCCCTGTCGCCCATTGCCCGTCTCTGACAGAGGCCAGGGACACCCTCCCTGCCCAGCCTGGCTAACAGCCATAGATAGACCTGTCCTCCGTGAATGTATCTAGCTGCTTTTTGAACCCAGTTAAAGCCCTGGTCTTCACAGCATCCTCCGGCAAGGAGTTCCACAGGTTGACACTGCGCTGAGTGAAGAAAAACTTCCTTTTGTTTCTTTTAAACCTGCTGCCTGTTCATTCATTGGGTGACCCCCAGTTCTTGTGTGACGGGAACAAGTCAATCACTTTCCCTTCTTCGCTTTCTCCACCCCAGCTATGATTTCACAGACCGCGATCCTCTCGCCCCTTGGTCTCTCTGCCAGGCGGAAAAGTCCCCGCCTTTTCACTCTCTTGTCTAACCCCGCCCGAGCAGGGCCGCAGGGTAAAGTCAGAGGAGCACCCGCAGTGGATATGCTGGCCCTGGGCCAGGCCCTGGTCTTTGCACTTCCTAACTGCGCTGCGGAGGCCGAGCCGCCCGGGCCCCCAGAGCCGCCCTCTCCATTGGGGGTCACACCCACCCCGTTGGGGCACGGGGGTGTAACTGCCTCCGGGGGTGTTCCCTTCCCTCGCGGCTGCTCCCGCGCCGGGCTGCCCGGGGGCCGTACCTTGCTGCAGCGGTAGGAGACCACTGGCACGAAGGAGAAGGTTTCCGGCGTTTTCGCAATGGACCCCAGGACAGTGGAGATGTTGACGACGGCTGCCCGGCTGCAGCTCAGCCCTTTCTGGTTGCTCCCTTGGGCAGCCTTCTTCAGCGTGTTCCCTTCCCTCGCGGCTGCTCCCGCGCCGGGCTGCCCGGGGGCCGTACCTTGCTGCAGCGGTAGGAGACCACTGGCACGAAGGAGAAGGTTTCCGGCGTTTTCGCAATGGACCCCAGGACAGTGGAGATGTTGACGACGGCTGCCCGGCTGCAGCTCAGCCCTTTCTGGTTGCTCCCTTGGGCAGCCTTCTTCAGCAGGGGCAGGAAGGCCTGAGGAGACGGGAGGTCATTTTGTCTCAGCCCCGGGGCCACCCCACGACCGACTCTCCGCTTCGCGTCCTCCCGCGCCCCCTTCCCACCCTTCTCGGCACCCCGCCTGCCAGGAGCGGCTTCCCCATCCGCTCCCCCAAGCAGCTCCTCAACCCCCACCTTCTCCTAGCACGGGGGTCAGCGCCTGGCCCCCCCACACGGGCTTGGGGGTCAGCGGGGGTGGGGATTGGTGCTACGCAGCAGCCGTGGCCGTGTGCCTTGGGGGGAGATGGCAGGAAGAGGCGGGGTTTGGGGGCTGGTAACAGAGCCCCCCCCCGCCCCACCAGGAGACCTGGGCCGGACTGCACAGTCGCTTTCGTCAGGACGGGCCTGCGGGCCGGGCGTGGGAGCCCCCCAGCAGGTCCCAGTGACACCAGCCGCTGCGCTGGGCTTTCCCAGCACAGAGAGGTCTATTGGGGTGGCAAACGGGCCGCAGGCTTTGGAGGCAGCGGGCGGCTGAACGGCCGGATCCCCTCCCCGGCCGTGACCTGAAACTCTTCTCAGACTCAGACCTGGGTCACCAGCAGCGGCCCGACCACGTTCGTGCTGTAGACGCTCAGCATGTCCTCCGCAGAGGCTGACGCCAGCGTGCTGGGCGGCATGACGCCCGCGTTATTTATCAGCAGATTTAGGCCCGTTCCTCCCAGGCGGGCCTCTGCTTCCTTGGCAGCGCTCGTGATGCTCGCGGCGTCCGTAGCTTCTGGAGAGAGAAGGCAGGCGGGCCGTGAGCCTGGCGGGGGGGTTCAGCCAGGGACCCTTCCCGGCCTGCGTCAGAGGGGACACGGGCTTGGTTCTCTCAACGTTTCGTTGACTCGGGGTAGGTGGGTCGGCCCCTTAACGCTCCGGCCACAAGTTAGACCCCAAGAGCCAGGAGAGCAGCAAAGAAAACAGACGGGCAGGAAAATCGCCGCGTCCTGTCCAGCCTGCAGGAACCTGGCTCGCACCTAGAGCAGGGCTGGAGCATGGCAGGGGGCCAAGACTGGCAGCGAGAAAGTCCCGGCAGCTTTGGGTGCGTTTCCGCGCACTGCCCGACGTGCAGAGCAGGGCGCCCAGCCGCGCGCGGGGCCCAGCGGGGCTCAGAGGCAAGCCCCCGTTCTAGCTGCTAGCCTGGGTCAGAGTCTGGCTCCTTTCCTCGCACACTTGTTGCTTGTGGGGGGGGCAAAGAAGCTGGCAGAGCTCGGAGAGGCATGGAGCCCAGCCCCCTGCCCGTGCGGCAGGACCCCGCCCCGTCCAGACCATCCCCGGCAGGTGCCTGTCTAAATCTTGCCCCCCTTTCCGCCTTTCGTGGGCCACGGCTCAGGGTGAACATCCCCGGGAACGGCTCCGCTCCAGGAGCCTGCTTCAGAGCCCACGTCCCGCAGCAGCGGACGGAATTCAGGTCGTGTGCTGAGCAGAGACCAGGCTCATGCCTGACACTGCTGGGTGGCCCAGACCCCGCACCCAGTCTTAGCTCCCCCTGCTAGGGCGTGCACTGAGGGCAGGGCAGGGCCACAGCCCACCAGGGGCTGCCCGTCGCAGGTGGAATGGTCGCGGCGTCTTTCCAGGGTGCCGAACAGGCTGTTCGTATCTGGAATGCGCTGGCACTTGTAATGAAGAGCACAGAGCCCCGCAGGCCAACGAATGTACCGAGTAGCTCTGAGGTGCAGCGTCAGGCTTCCGCACTCTGGCAGTGTTGGGGGTGGATGCAAGCCAAGGCTGGCTCTTCTGCAAGGACGGGGCCCTTAGGCACAGCTGCTCTCATGCCTGCATTAGCTTTGTGCCCTGCGACTGAAGGTGGTTTGCGCCATGGAGTGGGGCGAGCGGGGGGCCCTTTTGGCTAAGGCGAAGCTGCTAGATCAGAATTATTTTGGGGTTCATTTACAATGTACTCTCGGTTCGCGGTGTTAAGCAGGGGCGGCCTTCGGTGAGCGCTCCCGAGGGGCTGCGTGTTCTAGTTTTCTGCAAACTGGTCACCCTCGAGTGGGCGTCTACAGCCAGACTTTGGCACCTGCTAGCCTGACGGATCACAAAGCCAGAGCACATCGATTCAGGAGCTGAAATATGCAGTTAGGAGTTTAGACTTTATGTCCGGTGCTTAAAAATTGGGCTGGGAACCGGGTGGCCAAGAACCCAACTCTGTCACATTTCCTGTGCGAGCTTGGTCAACAGAGCCCACTCATTTTGGGAGTCTGGCTTGAGAGACCACTGGGCCTGATCGTCAGAGAAGTCTGGGTGAAGCCACTGACGAATGCATGTTCCTGGCTCCTCACGCGACTCCAAGTGGCCTTTTTGAAATTCAGGCCCATTTTAATCAAAGACATTTTCTCAGCGGGATTTGTGAAAACCCGGCCACAGGCTCACGAGGAAGGCGCATGAGCGTGCGGGTGAACAACAGGCTAACTAAAGAAAAAACTACCAAGGGACTGACTTCTGGGTGGAGAATAATTTTGAGATTTTTTTTTTTTTAAAGGCCAAAGGAGTTTTATTTTTGAGAAGGAAAATGGTGGGGGGAGGAGGGGGAATCTCCAAGAAAAAAGTCTGGAAACTGTAATCGCCTAATCTTAGCTGAGCATTTCCCTAATAAATAGCCTCTCTCCACAGCTTGGTCTGTTACGTGGTTGTTAGCAGACATGCTCTGTTGCTGAGTCAGCCTCACCCCACCTTAGGGCAGGTTGGGTGGGGATCTCCCCAGGCCTTTTCTACGCGGTGCTGTGAAGCAGACTGTTCCCGCAGATGCCAGGTGTGTGTGAGATTTCGTTTGTCTCTTTCTCGCGGGGAAGTTCTCCCACAGGTGAGCGTAATCCAGTGGGGAGACCCTCCCCTTTGAGTGAACCAAATGCAGCATTTGGGAGTTGTGCAGCAATAAGGAGCTACAATCTGCTCGCACTGGCTGTGTGTTAAATTGTGTTACATTTGTGTTCCCCCCCCAAGTCTTTTCCATCCGTGTGTGGATTTTTTCCAGCCACGTGTGGAATAATGTTATGTGCATGTACAAATGTGCACCACAACAAGAAACTCAGCTGTGGGGGCTCTGCCAATCAGCTGGGGGGCGTTTGAATTTCTCCTGAGTGGCCGCACAAGCGCCCGGCTCACAGGGAACACTGCTTGTGATTGGGTGAGTCAGGTGCTAGCAAGCTGGGAAAGAGAGAACACAGAAGCTCAGAGAGTTGGGGGTTGCAAATCAGGGAGCAGCTGGAGGAGACTGGAGTGGCGCGCGGGTGGGGGCGGAGGAGGTCAGGACGTACCTAGCTGCAGAATCACCACGTTTGGATGCTTTGAAGCTAAAATCTTTAACTCCTAGAAGCAAAACAGAAAAGCGTTCAGGTGCTAGCAAGCTGGGAAAGAGAGAACACAGAAGCTCAGAGAGTTGGGGGTTGCAAATCAGGGAGCAGCTGGAGGAGACTGGAGTGGCGCGCGGGTGGGGGCGGAGGAGGTCAGGACGTACCTAGCTGCAGAATCACCACGTTTGGATGCTTTGAAGCTAAAATCTTTAACTCCTAGAAGCAAAACAGAAAAGCGTTAGGGAACGCTTCCGTGCTGCCCATCCCCCCCCCCCCCCTGCTTTGTCTC